CACCCACCTCGGAAGGATGGAAGGCTGAGTCAACCTTGAGCCCGTGAGATTAGAACCGCTGAACTGCAGATAACAGTCAGCTGAAGTGGCCTGCAATACTGCACCCTAACCACTGCGCCACCTCGGCTCTTAGCTACTATGATAAAAGGCAAACAATAATGAATCAGAGACCTTTAATCACTGCCCCCTATTTTCAAGATCTTATGCTATTAATGTAATTAAAAGAACAAATTAAAAATGTTGAATAGAAATGAAAACTCATTCACAAGCTCCCCCTCCAACAAGACAGACAGACAGACATACATACATACATACATACATACATACAGACATACATACATACATACATATATACATATTCCCAAGCATGACAATAAATGTAGCATGCTTCCAAAACACAAAAACGTAAACCAATGCCATACCTTTTTAAAAATTCCATATACTCTGTATGCTTGATAAGGCCAGTCCTCATCATTATTGTTTGGAAACATTGCCGATCAATAGCCCAAAGTTTCACATTTACGAGAGCTGAGGGGAAAAAAATGACAAGTGGAATTTTGATTAGCATATTTTGTATTTAAGAAAAACTTTGCAAATTGCAGAACCAATGAGAAAAACCTGAAAATTATTATTGTTTTTTTTTCCTATTTTCAATCCAAGAAAAGTGAAAGCAAAACATATTGGGCAAGTCATATTATGGTCTGTGTTCATTAATTCCTTATTGTAACTTGATATAAACAATCCATCCTAAAATTGGAGGCAATTTTCTGGAGAAGCCATGAGTTTTAAAAAAAGATAGGATTATAATTTTCTTAACGAATGCCCCAAACCAATCACTTCTCATTAATTCCTTAGGCAATTTGTTATGTCTTTGGGTGTTCAAATAAAGCTGGCTTGGGTTTTTATTTTTTATTTTTACATCAATGTAGACTTCCACCTTCTTGGATTTGGCTCTAGAATTTTCTTCTTTTCATTGAACAAAGGACTTACAAGATTGTCTTAATCACAACTGATGGGAAACAATGTATGTTCCAATGGGATACCTTTATATAAATGAAAGGAGGAGTTTAAAAAGGAAACCGTCAAAAGGAAAAGTTCCAGATTATTTTCATGCTTGCTGGGGAATTCTGGGAGTTGAAGTCTACTCATCTTAGAATTGTCAAGATTGGGATCAGAAATGAGGAGGTATTAACCACCTGGGAAAGCCAAGGGAAATCATCAAAACCATTAAAAAAAGAGAGGAAAAGTTAGGATATTTTGGACATGTGCTGTGACACTTGGAAAAATATAGCATACTGCACTTAATCCTCCAAGGAAAGACTGAAGGCAAATGAAGTCCAGGAAGAAGAATATTCTTCATGATTTAAGGGACTGGTTGGACAAAACTCAGCAGCACTTTTTTTGTGAGGTTGTTGATAAAAATAGGATCACCAACATGATCACCAACGTCCGATGACAGATATAGCACAAGAAGAAGAAGAACAAGACATTGAAAATGATGACTAAACTAGGAATCGTATCATTCGCTTAAATACAACAGAAATGTTGTTTTAAGAAAGTAAGGGGGGGCTTTTAAGAAAGGGGGGCCTTTGCCCAAGTTCGTCTGGTGCACCAATTGCGGCCCTATTTGGACCCTCGGGAGGCACTTCTAACGGTCACTCATGCCCTTGTCACCTCGAGACTGGATTATTGTAACGCGCTCTACATGGGGCTACCCTTGAAAAGCGTTCGGAGACTGCCGTTAGTTCAGAATGCGGCCGCGCGGGCGATATTGGGTGTGCCGAGGTACACCCNTTAGTCTTCAGTCCCCTAATCATCCTGGTTGCTCTCCTCTGCATTTTTTCTAGAATCTCAACATTTTTTTAATATTATAAATAAATTATTATTTATATTACTATTACAGAGCAGTCCCAAATAAAATACAATCAATTAGATTTAAGACAAAAATGGAGTGCAGCACACTGATTTCAGTGGAACATATTGTCCTGAAACTCCACACAACTGTATGGCTCATCAATCTTTCCTGCACAAGATATGCCTATCCAATCATAAATTAAACTGAATATTTATTATTAATGTCTTCTCATTTCCCTAATTCCAAATTTGAGCAAAATATTTTAAACTTAATTTGGGAATATTTTTTTTTTTGAAAATTAAATCTTCATTCAAAAGGCTGCTTTTTTTCGTCCAATGAATGCAGTAATAAAAACAGTGGAAAAATAATGTGAATTCTGTCACCCAGACAACACCAGTGACCTGTTGGCTGTTTAAACCTTTCTAGTGGTGCTCTTTTTCTTTTCTGAATGAAGGAGCTTATATTTCCAGCCTTTAATAACTTTTAATTAAAGGAGATTTATGTTAATATATTTGATTCTTGTATAATTATATATCTCAACTTCCTGGCACTTTGATCCTGCATTAGGGAAATCCAAACTACTTGAATCCTTTTCAAAGGGCTTAAATTCAAATTTAATAAAATTAAAATAAGCTAAAATAATTAAATCTCTTTTCTTTTCTAACTCATTCACGTTCCATTTTTGTACATCCCCAAAGCAAACAGTAATACCTGAGAGATACAAACACATATTTTAAAAATATATTATTATTATTAAATATTATTTTAAAAAGCATTAGGCCGTATTACATTTTTAAGAAACATAATTATTCTGTATCTTGAATATATCTTTTCTTAAAAGAAATTTCCTAATGGATCTGTAAAAATGGCTCTTTCTATGATTGCTGTATTTATTCTGTTCCTTACTTTTCTGCTGCCAATCTTAAGTGGAATAGCAATAGCAATAGCAGTTAGACTTATATACCGCTTCATATGGCGTTCAGCCCTCTCTAAGCGGTTTACAGAGTCAGCATATTGCCCCCAACAACAATCNAAAAACTGCCCCCCCCCTTTTTAAGGCATGAATAGCCTTGGGGGGGGGGAGGCTTAAAGAGTGCTCCTGGGGGGTGGGGGGCAAAAACAAGCAAAAAAACAGGCCCTTTTTTTTTTGCTAAAACTGGCCTTTTTTGGTCAAAAAAATTGCATGGATAGCCTTATGGAGGCTTATAGAGTGCTGCTGGCGGCTGGGGGAGGGGGGCAAAAACCAGCCCGTTTTTTGCTCCTTTCTGCCCTCCCCAGCCCCCAGCAGCACTCTATAAGCCTCCATAAGACTATCCACAGCCGTTTTGGTGAAGGGGGCGGGGCTTCAGGAGGCAAAACATGCTGTATTCGGTGTGTAAGATGTACCCAGATTTTCAGCCTCTTTTTATAGGGAAAAAAGGTGCGTCTTATACTCCGAAAAATACGGTAATTCAAATCCAGCCTCTTGCAAAAGACCAACTTGTTTTGTCCAGAAATGTTCTATCTATTTAGTCATGAAATCCACTTTGCTAGTCTTCATTTCTTTATTGCATATATGACATTAAACGGGATGGAACTAAACTTGAATTCCATTTATTCAGGCTTCTGAGCATGAAACTGGCTTATCATATGCTTTATAAGATGTGTCATTTTATATATATGGCTGTTTCATACTTTGCAGCTATAGAGTCAAAAGTAGCATCCTATGTGTAGTAATCTACAATTCTGCACTAAAATACTACATTTAGAATTGTCTGCAAGACAACAAAGGCAGCAAGTTTGCGCGATGGAAGTACATTCACAATGGTTAGGAAGATGTGTATGCAGGAGGGGTGAAAATGTGGGAAAAAGTAATTCTTGTATCTAAAATATTTCCCTTACCTGCAGACCATATCTTCAGCATCTTATCCCAGGAGCCACTGCAAAACTAATGAAAAGGACAACATTTGAATAAAAATGTAAATATCTGTTGGTTATCACCTTTAAAGCCCTACATGGCTTAGGGCCAGCGTACCTGCGAGACCGCCTACTGCCACATTCCTCCCAATGGCTGGTGAGATCCCACAGGGTGGGCCTCCTTCAGATGCCATCAGCCAGACAATGCCGGCTGGCGGCTCCCCGGAGGAGAGCCTTCTCTGTGGCTGCTCCGACCCTTTGGAACGAGCTACCCCCAGAAGTCCGGACCTTACCCACTCTCATGGCCTTCAGAAAAGCTGTTAAAACCTGGCTATTCCGGCAGGCCTGGGGCTGTTGACCGCATTGTTGAGGTCCAGCCCCGATCGTAACAAATGTATGCGTGTTGATTTTAACCTGTTTTTATTTTCATTTTTTATTATTTCTATTTTTTCTTTCGTTGTAAGCCGCCCGGAGTCTTCCGGGATTGGGCGGCCTATAAATCGATTAAATAAATACCTGATTTGATCTGATTCCAACTAAATTAATACCCTTGTGTTTAAGCCAGATTTGCACTGAATCTAGGGCAAGGTCCTCATCATCAGCTCTCCCTACTTGTCTAACCTGCCCTGGTAGAGTTGTGGCAGCAGCAGAGACGTTGTCCATGGCAGAAAAATATTCTCAGTGACACCAACCACACTGAATGCATAGAAACATCCAGGATCTTATGGTCTTAAAATGTAAAATCTCTGCTGTCACAATGTTCCCAAACCCAACTGCCCCCATTATTTAATCCAACTCCACCTCAATTCAAGAGATTGCAGTGTCATCAATAAATAATGCAATTAATACATGATATGACAGGAATGCCTACACCCGTGATGGCAAACCTGTGGCACGCGGAGCCATTTGTTAGGGCACGTGAGGCATGCGCACGCTGGCCAGCTGACTTCAGTCTTCGTTTTCGGCCATTTTTTGCCCTCTGGAGGCTTCACAGAACCCTCCAGAGGGCAAAAAACAACCCAACGCGCAAACCAGAAGTTCGGGAACAGACTTCCGGTTTGCACGTTGGGCCGTTTTTCTCCCTCCGGAGGCTTCAGGGATGCCTCCTGAAGTCTCCAGAGGGCCCCCGGGGGACGGGGGAGGCTGTTTTTGCCCTCCCCTAGAAAGCCTCTGGAGCCTGGGGAGGGCAAAAAACAGGTCCATCATGAGCCAAAAACGGGAGGGAGGATGGGGGTCAGCGCACATGGATGCGCGTGGTCGCGTATATAGAATTATGGGTGTGGGCATGCCCGCACACAACTCCCCTACACTCCTCCCTGCTTTTGGCATGCGCTGGTTAGCCATCACCTGCCTAGACATTCAAGGGTGAAAGAAAGGGAGGCCATAAAACCAGCATCATGTTGACATATATACACACCCCTCCTTTCCCGTATCTGAACCTACAATCCTCTAGTCCTAATCCATCAGTTTTTGCAAACTCTTTTAACAACTATATTTCATTAAATCCTTGAAAGCAAATGCATTTAAAGCCCTTGGCAGTTATATCTGATTTTTTTTTTAAACGACATCCTTAGGAGTACTTGGAAAAAAAGTCAGTTAGAGGGCCCAAGGCAAGCTATCATCTTACAAGACCCGTGATGGAATGTTACTTAGATCAGGGGTCTCCAATCTTGACGACTTTACGACTTGTGGACTTCCAACTCCCAGAGCAAGAGACAATGCAGTTTAAATAGTTTGTGTGAGAGAAAGAGGGTTCAGATGAGTCCTCCCTAATAGTTCCCAGGAGATATGATTTATGATGCAAGTAGTTTGGGAAGATTTTTGTTGATAAGTGAGCAGCAATAAAGACATCTGCTCCAAGAATCACAATGGGTCTATCTTAGTTTTCAGAGCCTGACAAGGCCCGTGACCCGTCAAAACCGCGCTCGACTAAGCCGCGCCCGATTAAACCGCGTCGCTGACGTCATCAACAG